TTCTCAACTCACCTTTTTATCACGTGATTCTTTTTGATCATGTTAAAGTTCAGTAGAAATTTATTCTCCTTAATTTATTGTTTTCCAGATTACAGATGACGATTTGAAGGGTGGTAGAGCTGACAGAGATTTTTTTGCCTATCATGCCTCCACTGCTCGATCTCCAGTGTTTATCAACAGTCGTGAGGTCACTGGTCGTTACCTTCTTGATCCAGGATCTTACCTCATCATCCCAACCACATTTGAACCACACCATCAGGGTGACTTTATCGTGCGAGTCTACTCTGAAAAGCCTGTGTCTTCAAAGTATGAACTATAAAATAACAAAATTTTAATTTTGTGTTTAATGTAATATAAACAATTTGAATGAGGCTGAGTTAATGTTGTGAAGATGTGTGCAATATCTAGGAGAATGTTGGCCGAGGTGGATAACAGCCTCTCAAGTTTTCTAAATTTTTCACATCTTGAATGATTCATTCAATATAAAGTTCTTAAAAAGCTTACCTCCTTTGTAGACTAAGCCTTGGTCTTTATGTATTTCTTGGCATAGTTTCAGGATATACATGTAAACAGATGTTTTTTCTTGCCGATACTCCTAAAAACATAATATTGTAGATAGTGTAACATCCATTGAGTAATATATTTTGTGTATTCTTATATTTCTTCCATTTAATTTCAACCAGAAATTCAGCTATTTAATCTTCAGAAAGCCGTGAAGGCCTTTTTTCTAGTTCACTTGTAAGGAATAAATTAAACAGCTAGGCTGCTTGGCGTGGTTGCAGTGAACAATACAAATTCTAGCTTTTATCCTAATGGACTTTCATATTATAGAATATTTCCATGTATTATCATTTCACAGGAAAGTTGATGTAAAGACCTCCATCCAGTCCAGAGGTGAACGTCGATCTAAGGTTAGTGCATAACTATTCCATGTATGTAGTTTTTTTACTTAATATTAATTTTCTGTGAGTTATAATTCTTCCACTGGACTTAAGACTCAGTGGTTCATTCCATATCCAGAACATGAGAAATTATTTAAGGTGTAATATAATCAAGCTTTTTTAGACTGATGTAAACAGTTGTTTGTTTTCACTGTTGCAGTACAGAGAACAGAGCAAAGAGGACAGTGATGCAATGGACTCTTCATTCAAGCAGTTGTTCATCAAACTGGCTGGAGTTGTAAGTGTTAATTAATATTGTTATTAACAACTGCATCGCTCAAATGGAGGTTGGGTGCCTGGAGTATCCAGGGGCTTCCACTGTTGCAGTTACTGAAAGGAATTAAATAGCACCTGTTTGGTTGTGTCAGTGATGAACTCTAGTGCTAATGATGATTTTTCCTTTAGGACAGAGAGATTGATGCATTTGAACTGCAGCAGATCCTTTCAACTGCTACAAAGAAAGGTACATTGTGAAAACGTGCAATGAGTTGAATGCATGGCAGATTAAGATTCTTTATCAGCCCAATTTAAACTGGTGGGGGGCTTGAAAACTTGTGCCACAGATGCAAGTTTGTTGGGGGGGGGGGGCGGGGGGGACTGGAGGCATCCTCCCCCAGAAAATATTTTGAAATCTTCGAGGCTCAGAAATGGTATGTTCATAATAGGCTATGTTTTGTGTTCAGTTTGATTGGCCTATATACATGCAAATAATGGGACTACTTGTATTGTGTGTCCCTTCTAGAGTATCTAACAAACAACAACCCGCTGTGGCCCTAAAGGTTGTTATAGTCTTAGAATAATATTATACTACTTTAGTAAGTTACATGTGGCTGTTATTTCCAACTTCTCTTCTTAGTTACAAAATAATGTATAAGGTTTTTGTCCTTTTCATTGATTCACAAGAGTTGACTTTTATATTACTTATATTTCCAGTGCTTAGAGACAAGGAATTTAGCTTAGAAGCTTGCAGGTTAGTTTCTTACAGTAAAATGTTACATGGCCTCATATAGTCAGATAACATTATGGTCTGCATGTAAAATGATTATATGTTACATGGCGTGGGGCACACAAGTATAAAAAGGCTGAAGGGAGGGGGGGGGGGGTGAGGGGGTTGGAAAGTTCCATTATTTTTTGGCTTCATGCCCTCAAAGGCCTCTATAAGGCATCATGACAGTTCCATGCACTACCAACCCACAAAATTTCACCCCCAAAAGGTACAGGGAGTGCCCCTATCTTTTATGGAGACCTAAACCGGCCTCTGGGATATGCAAAGTGCCTTTTGCTAACTACCCTTCTAAACATGCAGCAGCTTATGTGTCAATTGAAGTTTAAACAGATCCACATTGAGATTGCAGTTTAAAAATAGAGTAGCAAAAAATCAAAAGGATGTTTTTATGAAAGGAGAAAAACCTGTGATGCTGCTTTTCTTCTGTAAAAGATGCTTCCACAAATCACTTTGAAGCACAGACTGCAGAGAGCATAGATTCGGGGTTCAATTTTTGTTACCATTTTTGATTATCCAAAATAACACTGTGCTATTTTTTAAGTAGAAAATAAAATTCTTTTAATTTTTCCATTTCTTGGTCAGCTTTAACCACAAACTACAGCTGACTCTCTCTGAATGGACACCTTTATAACATGGACACCTCTGTAAAACGGACAGCAAGGGTTGGTCCCTGCCTTTGTTTACTCCCTTAATTTGACTCTCTTTAAGACAGACACTTGGTGCCTGAGAGAGCTAACTGTAGCCAATTTTTGCATGCCTGTCTTTTGTCTGTTTCTCTTTTTAACACTTGTCTGTTGTCTTTTTTAATACTTTCAGGAGCATCATAGATCTTAAGGATGTATCTTTTAGTGATAAACGCTTTCCTTAAAAATTTAGAGCATAGCAACTATCTTTTGTTTATAAGAACAATCAATATGAAATACTTACCAGTACATGTGTATGTACCCACCAGCAGGTATTGGCTTTGTTTTCAAATTACCGTCATTATTTCCTCTGAGGGTCATTTTTGATCTAGTAGAAATGTTGAACAGATGAACCTCCATGTGCAACCACCTCTCGCAAGCGACCACCAATCCAAAACCACCAACATTTTCCAGGTCAATGCTTAACAGTTGGAACCTCTTGTAAGGGACTACAACCATTTTTGGGGGTTGACGGTTAAATGATTTTCCATTTTTTTCCTCGTAATAGGCCACTTCTGAGTTCCCCAAACCCTCACTTTCAGAATGAGCCCAAGTGCACAACCTTTCTTGTTAAAATGTGTTTAATTTGCATGAGAATGAAAAATCATTTCCATCAATCAAAGGCAGAGCACTCAACCTCGTTTTGATACACAGGCCGGGCAAACTCAGAAATGGCCTGTTAAATAAATTTGTCTTTGTAAAACCTACCAATACCAGGTGCCCAAATGTTGGGTTTTGCTCTTGTGATTTGTTTGCATGATAGCAAAAAGATTAGGTATTGTTTTGGTATATCCTTAACAGTATTTAGGATGACAAGACTGGAAAGCTAGATTATGACGAATTTAAGGAAGTGTGGCAAATGGTTAAAGATTTGCTGGTGAGGAAGCACTTTTCATATTTTTAGAGGTCATGCTTCTGATCACAGAGGGACTTCGAGAATGAGAACATTTTGTAATCATTATATGACAGGGGCTGTCTTTACTTCACAGAAAATTTTCGCCGAGCATGACAAAGATAACAGTGGAACCATGGACATGTATGAGATGCGCAGTGCACTGTCAAAACAGGGTAAAGTTTCTTTGATTTTTGCCATCAAGGTGCCTGTGCTGGTCCTTTCATGTGCGGCTTGGATTTCACGATAAACTTGTCATGCTGTTTGCTATGCAGTGCAAGTTAGTTCCATGTTTCAAGTGTGAATAAATTGCTTATATGTGATGATTTACATGAAAAACATGGTGACGTGCTTTCATGTGATCCTGTTTATAGTTATGTCATCCTTGGCCTCTACACACCCTGAATGAGTAGACGAAAATCTACATTATATAATCTCACCATTTAAAATAAAACCTCTTCATCAGTACTTTACGAAATTAAATTGTGAAGGAGGGAAAGGGGGGGCGTTCTTTTAAACTCTCTTTTCTCAAAAAGCATAGCTAAGTCACCCCCCTCCCCCCAAGGGCTATTTATGTATACATGCACATAATGAGTCGTTAATAGTGTCAAGGAGACAAACTGACGTCCCATTTTTTACTGACTTCTATAAAAATCTCTTAGGTATTAACCTCAGCGATGCGACTTTAAATGCCATGGCTTCCCGCTTCAACAACAAGAAAGGAAATTTGTCCTTTGATGACTTCCTGCAAATTGTCTGTCGTATTTACTCTCTGAAAGGTGTGAACCACTATCTTGTTATGTGATGGTTATTGCTCTCTCTGTCATCTCCCCTGGGCCAGGGGGTCTGGTAGCTTGAGAAAACAGTCGACATTTCACGACGTCACCACTGGTTTGCTCGCGAAATGACGTCTGAGAAACGAGCGCAGAAAATCCATTTTGATGACACGTCATTACGTGGGTGGTGTTTCTGATTGGTTGAAACAAATTGTCAGCCAATCAGAAGCACTACTGGGTAGTGACGTCATCATTATGGAATTCCTGCATTCGTTTCTCGGACGCCATTTCTTGGGGAAACCACAGTGGTGGCGTCGCTAAATGTCGGCTGCTTTCTCAGGCTTGGTGTCTGGTGGGTTGCGCTAATATCGTACTTGGATGCATTGTTGACAATATGTTGGTTTTACATATATTAGTCACTATGAAACCTAGCGTTGGCAAAGAGATTTTGCTAAATAGCAAAATCGTCTTCAGTACTAACAAATCTTTCTCCCTCTTAAAATATCTAGGATAAAATTAAAAAGCGTCCTTTGGCCCCAGGGTATTGTCTCGGTAGAGTTTTAATTCAGCGTTCTAAAATCAAAGATAAAGTTCGAAAAAGTGACTGGTTAACTAATGTTCAAATCTTTCACACTTAAACTTCTTCAGTTTCGTTCAACCGTGCGTACCTTTATATTTCCTGTGTTACTTAAATGTGTCTTAACTATTTTATAATCGATTTTTTATACATTAGTTCACTCAAGTCAATGCAATGGCTAGTTACTTATGCCGAGTTTTCCGCCTTCAAAGCGAGCTCGAGAATGTGCCATTTCTTCAGCGGAGGTTTTTAGTTATTTGTAATGGGTTTATTGTTTTGCCTTGTTTAGATAACTTTGATCGTTACGCGGACAGAACTGGGACAGCCAAGTTTTCGTTGGACGACGTAAGTGAAAAAAAAAAAACAACAACAACAACAACAACAAAAACAGAAGTGTTATTTTAAGTTGACCCTTTTTTTGCATCCTTATTGTTTCTTATCCTTTATTCTTTGGAGTGCTCCAGTGGACGTTCGTTTAAAGATGGTGCGTGGTACGTGATGCGTAGTCTTTTGGTCTGTGGACAATTTATCATGTTCCAGCCTCTAATTTCTGATATCTAGGTCACTTTCTTATCAAGCTGAGAAAATATCAAAAAGCACTGCATAGTGATCTATCACTGAAAATTTGAGCCTGCTGTACTGGAACCTCGATCAGAACACATTGCGAATGTTGAGAATGGAAGATGTAGTATTTGATTTTTTGGTGGATTTAATCCTTTAATGTGACCATTCAAATGAAGTTTAAAATGCTGCGTGCGTGAATCTGTTTCGTATTTCATCGTTTCATTCATCATTCGTGCTTTTTGCCTTTCAGTACCTTCGCGCCTGTGTTACTCTGTAAACTACATGATGACGACTAAGTAATCCATGCATACCTGGTAATAAGTGGCGACTAATGAACCTACTCAGTTATAAAGATGCCCTTTTCTTTCTTGCTGTGCTGCTATAACATAAAGCGAGAGAGCTACCTAAATAACTTAATGGTAGATATACGTGTATAATTAAGCGTGAAGCTCATAGGCTCGCCTGTACATTAATTCGAAAAAAAAAAGATTAGAAGACGATTTACTGTAAAATGAACAAAATTACTGGTGAGGACTTTAAACTGCTTAGCTTGAAAGAAACTTGCTTCTAATGGTGAACGAATGAAAGATGGATAAAACTTACTCTCAAGTGCAGCTGAAAGCCGGCTTATTAATATGATTAAGTTTAGTAGCTTTATAACTCATCATAATGAACTTTTCTATGCGTACGTGTAACTAGCTTGCTCTGTCCATACTCCAACCCGACCCATTTCTGGAGTAGGTAGAGTTAGAAACTTACTTCTTCGTTAGTACAGCAACGTTCTATTCAACGATTTACAACCACAGAAGAGCAGGTTTCTTGAAGTCTTCTGTGCATGGACAAGCGTACTACTAGCGAGTGGCACTGGCTCCTAACTGTTTCATATTCTAATTATATTTTTCATTTTTTGCTTTTCAGTTCATCGGGGTTGCCGTAACTTTGTAAAGGAAAAAAAAGTGACAAAAAAATTGCATGCACAGTATACTAATCTTCTCAGCTTGGATTCGGGAAAAAAGAATTGTGGAACAACTAGCTTTTTGAAATTAGTCATGTATTCATCACGAAACGTGGTATACCACAAGGCTGTAAGGAACTAGCAATTTTGGACCTGTGTCAAATGCTGAATTTAAATTCAATGTAATACAATATAAACTTAGGTCAATTTTAAAAATTAACTGCTTGTTAACCAGATAATTGGCTGAAACTAGAGTTTAATGGTGAAGGGTCTCACTCGTTTGACGAGAGTTGAATAATAGGCTGGTATGTTGGGTGGGCGAGCAATTTTCGCCGTATCGTATTTCTATAATATTTTTCCCTCGTGTGTACTATCATTATACCAGATATTCTGTTATAATCTTGTTAAAAATGAATGGCAATAAAGGTTGTTAAACCACATGTTTGGAGTGTTGTAATTGGAGCAGTTGGGACGTTTAAGATGTATGAAGTTGTTTGTTTCTAAAGTAACTGTGCTGTTGCGTCGATCGGTTGAGTTACATACATCTTCAGGCTCCTGTTGTTCAAACGTTGGATAGCGCTATCCACTGGATAAATCACTATCCTGCGGATAAATATTGAGGAAACTAATTGCGCTATCCATGGAATAGAGATTTATCCCGCGGTCGATAACGTTATCCACCATACTGAAGACCCCTGCAGACGGTATGAAATCAATAACAACAGTCTATAAAATAACTAGGATAGTACGCCTTTTCTGATTGGTTAAAAACGTATGGTTTATTGCGCCGGTTAACTCAGAAAACTTAAAGTTATTTTATAAAAGCAATAGACCACACTTTCTTTGGGTTTACCGGCGTGATAACCCACTTAGAATGTTGGAAGAACACGTGATTTCTCCCAACATCTCGCGTGGGTCATCACGCCGGTAAACCCATAGAAAGTGTGGTCTATTGCTTAAATAAACCATGAACAAATACTCCATAGTGCTTACAGCATATTTTATAGAATCCAACAAAAACAATGAGTCCAATCGGAACATTTTAACCAGAAGAACTGTGAAAGGATTTTATTCACTGCATGCACGATTTAAAGACTGTAAGTGAGTTCGTTAGTACAACGCATATAAAAGAGGCCCGAATCTTGACATATTGGAGTTAAAAATAAATCCTAATATCTAGCTTGACGCTTTGACAGTGAACACAAACAGCTTTTGAAGTACGGTTTACAGGAAGAGGATAGCATTGTGTAATCACAACACGGCAGTTTCTGAACTCAGCTTAGTATATTGCTATTTACATACAAATGTGTTGTAAGCAAGTTTCATCCCTGCCTTCAGAACTTGAATTCTTTGTACTTTTTAGCAGATTTGCCGCTGTCTGTCGCTTTTTTTCGTTTCTGTGAAACCAGAAAAAAAATACATATTGAGAGTTTTCAGTGTTTTTCTACATAAGCAATACATGACAATTTCAGTGTCTAATCCTTACCCTAAACCTTCTATTACACCAGTATAGACAGTATCAAAGCCTTGATGGGATGCAGCCCATCGTTCCTTTGCACAAAGTCTGCTTAACCGTGGAGCACGAAAGATAAAATTCACTTTATACAGTTCGAGACCCATAAAAACTGGTACAGAATTTGGCCTCAACATTTGTTGGACCACATATCGAGACAGTTTGAGCAGTTCTGGAAATAATTGACAACTTGACAAGAGGGTCTGAATGGGGTACCTCAATAACACTAAACACTTCATTTTTTGGCTTTGTAACGTGAAACAGTCAAATTTTAGGCATTTTAACACTAACATTACAAAATTCTTTGAAAAACGGCAGCAAAAAGGCCAATTTTATTTTGCTTAGTATATCGAGGAGTTTTCGGCCATTTAACTACCATTCCAGATTTTTTAGAAGATTTCCGAAAACTACCGACGATTCCCGAAGACTGTCGAAGATTTCCGAAGACTAACCTAGAGGTCCGACCATTGCCCAAGATGTCCGAAGAACCCTCCAAACACTTAACAGTATTCTGTTCGCAAATGGTAAACATTAAAAATTGGCCACTTTAACAGCAGACACTAAAAATTATAGGCAAATAACACTTATCACTAAACCCCATTCAGACCCTCTAACAAGCGCTGTATAATTAAAGGAGCAACAGTGCGGGTCAGAACACACGCCTTCCATCAGTCAGGCCTGGGTTCAGGTTCCTGATAAGAAGCCATACTCTGGGGTGAGTGTTGTTCATGGTTCTCTCGGTTCTTGCTACGATAGGTATTTCTTTGGGTATTCCGCCGCCCCCCACCTGCCCTCTAAAACTAACATTTTCAAATTGCAGTTCCATCCAGGCCCCAGTTGTTCGAAAGGTGGATAGCGCTATCCAACGTTTGAACAACCGGGGCCAGAACAGTAGACGAAGAAAACCTTAGTGGATGGCCTACCACTAAATCTTTAGTTAGTTATTTATTTATCTACTTTGATTATTCATTTATTTACTTACTTACCAACTTCAGTAGCTCAGTTCAACCCAAGTTGAAATTGTACAAACGGAGGCAGTTGTAAAGAGGCAAATCCATTTCATTAAAATGATCTTGAACTTGAGTGAACACGGCGTAAAAATTTGAATTCACGTCGTGAAATTTGTATTTCATGCCCCGTGACCGTGGTTTTTTTTTTTTTTACGCTTATGGTGAAAATTCATAAGACCCGTTTTCCCGTGAGTGTCACAAATACAAATACAGAAAATTGTTCGTGCGCTTAATATTTGCCACGCACAGACCTCGCCATCCAAAACTACCCATTCTGGACGCGTTAAGACTGAGGTTATAAATTAGAAAAAGTCGCTAACCTTTTGTTTAGCTGCATGTTCCGCCACCATATCGCTCAGGTCTTCTTTTTGTAATTGGCTTTCTCTTTCTTTAAGCTGCTCCTCGTATCTGAAAAACACGACAAAAATAAGTAAGTACAAATCGCGAATATTAATCGTACACCCTGCCAAAGAACTGACCTAACCAGAATTCAGAGAAAAGGAGCTTGCTAGCGAGTCAAAGTTGATTGTGATTGGCTGAAAAATGGCGTGAGATCTGTGAACCAATCATCAGGCTCAGCAAACCAAATTAGACAGTCAAATGACAACTTCGTGCTCTCAGCAAATAAAAACGTTTAACTGCTAACCTGGCCTGCATAGCCGCCGGGTCCAGCTCCAGCTCACTGGGGTCCAGTGCCACCTCGACACCCTCAGCCAGAGGCGCTCCAGCCTGGTAACAAAAAAGGAGTTAGATGGTTGGTCATAATAATGTAAGAAGTTACAACGCACGTGATCCACGTTAGAAATACGTGCAGTCAATGACAGAACTTACTTTTCTTTGAACACCTGCAGCTGCCTATAAAGCAGAAAAAAAACAGTAAACTGTTTTGCTCAGAGAATAAAAACTAATGACAATGATCAACGGTCAATCTTTCGATAAAACGAAAGTCTACACTGTATTTACATTTCAAAGTAACCAGCGATGAACAACAGCACTTGTTAAACTAATATTTACCGACGTCATGTCGTACACATGCGCAGATCCCATCATAGCAGCGCCCACGCTGATTCTCTTTTCCTGTAACACGGTGTACAGCGGTTGCTGTTCAGCACCAACCTCCATGGCTTCCTCGATGTTCTTTCGTTTACGTAGTTCAATCATGTCTGGTGTTTCCATACCAGCTGGAATGGATGTCAAACCGCTCGGGGTGATAAGTCCACTACAAAATGACAAAACAAAGAACAGATTGAAACAGATTAACAGAGAGCACGGCGAAACTTCTAACGTGAATTAGTCACTAAGAAGACGCTCGGGAAGAAATCTAAGACAGGCGCTAATCAGCCAATAACACGATAAGAAAGAGTTTGGTTTTTAGATCCCCTTTTCGCTTTCCTCAAGTGAGAATGAGCTATCTTGCTCTCCTATATTTTTTTTTTGCGTTATTCGGTTTCACTACAGCAAAAAGTTATTAATTTTTGAATTACGTCATTTCCTTGATCGGTTTTCAAAGTTTCCTAAAATTATTTGATTGTATGATGGACCCATTGTCTTAAATGCAGCTATTAATACTCTCTCCTTAAAAGTACTGAAAATGGCTCATACTTTATGACCGTGAGGAATTATTGGGTTATCGCCCTGTAAACAAGTCAAATTATTGTTTAAACACGTTAACACTAGACGAACTGAAATCGGTAACGGAGACTGACAAACTTACGTATCAGCTGGTGTAATGAGACCTGTTTGATCTTCCTCCTCTTCGGATTCTTCCTTTAATTGAAAAAATAAATAAACTGTACTGAGGTTTTTTTTCAAAGTTCTTGAGAGATTTGTCCTAGTCCTAGTGGTTCACCTAGATTGTGCCCTGGTTGGATAAAAAACTAACATGAGCTAACATGAAATGTCCGCTATTAAGTAAAAAATAAGGCTCATTTGCAGGCCTACAACTGAAAGGTGCTGCCTGGCCCTCTCCCCATCATGACAGCTTCTAAAGGATGCAATTCATGCTTCCTTTCCCTCCCCACCTATGTGATCACAGGTGATTCATGTTTCCGTTCCCTCCCCACCCATCGGATACCTCTGACTCGGATTCCTCTTCTGACTCAGATTCCAGCTCGCCCCAGGGTTGGTTCTCAATCTGTTCATCTTCCTCCACCACAGGAGCCTCCTGCTGCTGGATACCGAACACATCACCATACAGTGGCTTGCCTTGTTCATCCACAGGAGGCTTACCCCACCCACCTGCATGGTAACCAAATGATGCACCCTGCAGCAAACAATACAGCATACAAACACAGGGTCCATGTTAAACAGTAATAATTCATTGGAAAACTATACTGAGGAGGATAGCAAAAAATATCAAGGCTGCGATTTGTGCAATCTAATAACATGGGGAGCCAAGACATGGGTAATTGTATCTTAAATGCAAAAAAACAACCATTTAACAAATATTCCTGGAAACATCAAGTTGTATACAAAATTATTTTACAGTACACAAACTTTCATCGTCTTTGACAAAAAGTTTCAACAACAGTTTGAAACATGACTGACCTCCCATAAGTCAACATAAACACTTACTCCTCACTTAGGGCAAAATTTTAACTTAGGGGAGGGGTAGGTGCTCACATATCCAAAAACCTAAATTGATCCACATCCGACACGTGCTCTGCTTTTGTACCAGAACTTTTTTTCACTTAAACTACCCGAGGCTTGCAATTAAGTGTCATATGCAGAGGAACTATTAGCATCTGTAATGTGATGCCACTATCAATAGAACAAGAGAGAGATATGGAGTTGATATAGTGTGTGTTTTAGTACAGCATTTCAGTATTGCAGTTTTGATCACGACACCAAGTTTCTTCCTATCAAAAGCCAATAAAATAAAAAACAAATTGAACGACAAATGAACACATTTACGCTTTTCCATCCTTACCTCAGGAATAGGTGCATTTAATCCAGGGATTTTTAAGCTGGGGTATGATGGCGGAGGTCCATATCTTTGCATGGCAATTAACCATGGGGGCGGAACTAGCTGATTATTGGGGCCAATTGGCATCCCAAGGGCTGTCCGGAGCTCATCTGACAAGTCTCCTGGCTTCTTCTCTTTCAATTTTGTCTCAAACTCCTTTCCCTGATTAAAAAAAAGAGGAATTAGGATCAGGACTTTCCTTTGCTTGTTATTTTTCTTGAAACCTTGCTTTAAGCTCACAACCTTCCCTTCCCTAAAGAAGATTCAATTGAAAGTGAAGATTATGAATACAGTAACCTCTGTTATCACTCCCACAATATGTCCAAGTGGTGGAGAGCAAGTGGTGAGAAACAGCTGTGTTTGTAACCTATGATTTTATTGAATATGCAATAAAAAACATTGAGTACAAATCCTAGCTCACCTCATAATAAAGTTCCCCATGTATTAACATCTTAGGCTTTGTTTGCCATCTACAAAAAGAGATCACAACCATTACATTCACAAAACATTAAAGGACTGTGTTCTTAGACTAAGCCTTCTTGTCTATGCTTGGCTATCCTTGGAGTGAAGTATAAGGTGAACTATCAAGAGAAGACCATATATAATGAAAGCCTTGATGCTGGCTATTACCCAACAAGCTATAACAACAGGTTAAAGATGAGAAAAAATACTCACTTGAAAAAAGCATCATGAAGCTTCTGATAGTCAATGTCAATCTTTCCCATCTTTGGTCTGACCTAAAATCAAATGCAAGAGAAAGTAATACTGTGATTCCTGCATGGAAAAATACACTGTGTCACCATTAATTTTTGCTAGTGGAAAAAAAATAATAAAACCACCACATTTGAATATTATTTATCCTACCTTTTCTCTCATCTTTGCTTTCATGGTCTTTTGGTCTTCCTGTGATCACCAACAAAAACAAATGTATGAGCTACATGATAATCAACTAGACAAAAGTAAACATTACTAACTTACTGTCACAGTGAAAGTTGAGAAAAGGAAGAATGTAATGTTCATGGCTTATTTGCAAAATTTCTCTTCTGACTAAGGAAACTGAGCAGCAGTTTTGGTACTGAGGGGACATTTTGTGGTAATTTTAAGCATCGACATTATGAGGTCAATGAACTTTAGCATATCAGCGGGCCAGTGGAGGATCCTCTTGTGTCTCTCTGGTGAAATACCCAAGATACCTTTTCCTGCATTGCTTCCCTCATTTCCATGATTCCAGTTCTCTAAAAAAAGGAAAAATACACACAGGTTAGAGACAATGTATTTTGGGTCTACATAAACAAATTTGAAGATAAAAAATGCTAAGACAGTTACCATAATAGCAATTATATGGTTTGTCCCTTGCTAAATGTAGTTTTTTTCTTTGAATGGATGCATCACATCCAACGTTTTCAAGCAAAATAATTTACAAATTTTACGGTTTATTTTTCATCATATCTGATTCATAAGTTAGCAGGAGAGACAAAAATTGTGATTCTAATGGGAGTTGGAATCATGTCATCCAGATAACAAAAACAAATTTCCATTCCACTCAAATACCATTAAAAAAATATATAGGTACAGGTATCTGTAAACTTATTACAATAACAAAATTCAGTTCTGAAAATATGATCTTAATCAAACCTTGATGAACTCAGGCAGTTCAAATGGTGGCTTCACAATACCTCTTTTACCCTTAAAGATGGTGAAAAATGACAACATGTAAGGCATAAGAATAATAACATCTCCAATAGCAAGGTCAACTTTGACTAGAAAAATTACTATTTCAGTTGAGAGGATTTGATCATATACAGGTAGGTCTGATCTTACTGAAATACATGTGCAGGTATTGTAAGTTGCAGGAATAACTGAGCATATTTATTCTGCAAGTAGAGATACATGCAAATGTTTATTTTTCAGATGCAAGGAACTGAACAAACAAATGATAATTGATTGTACAGAAAGTAAGACATGCATCTGGTATTGGCCAGTCTAATGAAAGTTTCTTCTGCAAACGTTAATTTACATTTGTATTGAAAGGTAAATGTACGCAGCCAATACATTGCTCATTTATTTCCTAACAATAAACAGTTTTCCCTGTCAAGAATTTGATGCATTTAAATACAATTTAAAGGAGTTAACAACTAAGAGCGCCTGGGTGCCTAGGTCAGCGGTCTTTGGCATGCGCATGCCCGGTGGCTGGCTACATCGATCATGTGATTCCTTGGCGCGTTCAGTTTTCCCTTCGTGCTGGGTTCTGTAGGGCCATTTTCTTCCCTCCCGCCCTCCCCCTAGGCTTGTTGGGTTTTTCTCCACTGACGTTTTTTCAGTGTGACGGGTGCCTGTTCCTTTCCTTTGGTGTGGGGGCTCATGGCTGGGTTGCACTGTTGTGCCAGTCATGGGGGCATTATTTCAATCTAGGGGCTGGCTGCCAATAGTGGAAGCCCCTGGATACTTCAGACACCCAACCTCCATTTTAGCGATGCAGTTGTTAACCTTGTTAAAAGTGTAGATGGAGAACCATGGCAAAATGTATTTTCCTTAACAGGTCTACTTGTTCAAAACTACCATGTTGGTTTTTGAACAAAGTAACTTACCAATGAGTATCATACCAAAAAGTTTATTGTTGGCACAAGCCATGTTCAAACTCTATAAGAACTTGTTAAGAAAAGGTATTATTCAAAAAGTATCTTAGGGTAAGAAACTAAAGTGCAGTACCTGAAGGTATTTTCTTTTGAAGCACCAATGTCTGGGGACTGGGACAGTATTACGACATGACTGGAATGAAGGCAATAAGAGAGAATGTAACAGTCATCAAAAAAATATCTACATGTAGCCTGCCAACAAAGTGTGAACAATTAAGGGAAATGTGCTGACACTGTAATCTACGAGCTCAGTGAGTATTCTGTTCTCCTAGGAATGAGTTGTGTCAGTTTAATGTGCTCTTCCCACAGATAATGCTTTCACTTAACAACAAATGCAAAGTGAATCTCAAAGTGTGGGAGCAGTCAAAGGCAAATCAAAATAGTAAAGGCAATTTAAAGAAATCCCCTTTGAAGAAAACATAAATAAAATTATTGTAGGGTTCAACAAAAGTAACTAAGGAAATATAAGGACAATATACACTCAAGAAGAAAACAGTAGGACTATAATCAGCACATGAGAAGTAGTAACACTCATCTACAGCCTAGGAGCCGGAGTCTTGTTGTAGAATTTAAGATTCGTGGGCCACCTGTTGACTCACTCTTACAAGTAATCGATCAACCCTTTTCTAAGAGAAAACTAGAGAGAGAATTTATATATAGTGGAGACCTTAGTGCAGAATGTCTATTTTTATTGTCAGAGATTAAACATGAACTGTCTACCTTCATATCAACAATGGCACCAATTAAAATAAAAACATCTTAACTGTCTTACCTTTAAAAATACAAGGAATTTAGGATCCTGAGCAGTTACATCATGCATTTCCACCACATCGGGTCTTGGAACCAACTAAACAAAATAACAGTAGCATTTATAATAAAATATTCAAAAGCACATGAATGAAAGAAATACAAGCAGCAAAAAAGGATGTCGTGTTGTCATTTATGCAGCCACTAATCCAATCATGGATTATTCCTCTTTCTTGATAAAATCACAATCAAACAATGCTTTTACAACATAAAGCTTTCCAAACAAAACAACACAAACCTGTTTTAGTTCAGCCACACTAAGCCTGTTCATTTTTCTTAGTTTCTTCTTGGAGAGCTTAGGTTGATCATCTTCAGATTTTTTCTGCCAAGACCAAAAAACAAAAGCACCTCAACATCTCAAATGATAATCGAAACCCTCTATACACAAATGACAGAGACAAATGATAAAATGAAACCTTTTATGCACAATAACCATGATGAATAATATCTGTCAAGAAACTGATAAATCCGTAAAAAGACATTTGTGAAAAATACATGTAAAGAATTGATTGAAATATCAGATACATGTTTGTCTTACCACTATATCTTCATCATCATCATCATCATCATCATCATCATCTTTATCCATACTATGATCTTTTGCTTCAGTTTTCTTTGCTGCCACCTGTAACAGATACCCTCAACTGTGAATATGTGAAGGAATATGTAAAGAATAAAAATCTATCCTTAACAGTTTCTACCTCAGTTTTGCTTAGTTGGTTTTCTATCTTTACAAATACATAAACAGTATGTTACAGGTCAAAGTTAATTTCAGGTCAAAAATTTTTAACCTGGGTTGATTCTCAATTTCCTTGGTCTCCTAGCCCTTATTCATGAATTAGAGACAAAGGAGATTGACAATCAACCTCTGCATTCAATTTTGCCCTGTAATATTTTCTATGTTGGTGTACAGTCATTGGTTTCTTTTCTTTTTTTGTGACTGTGAATTTCCTGCACAAAGCTATACAGGGCAGTAACTTCACAACACTCATAAAAGTTTTATTCAACATGGACTACTCATATCAGTTTTTATGTACCTGTCTTCCCACTGATTCTCCAACTGCCCCAATCCACCCATTGCCATGCAAGGGGTTTGGATGGATTTGATTGTGCTTTCCATGAAAGATGATTTGATTCAGTATTAATTGATTAATCCTTTCAAAGGGACCATAGACTATTGAGTCTTCGTAGTTAGACATTGATTTGGAAGTGGTTGATTAACTTGAAGCAGGCCAACAACAAAAAATTTTTACTCACAGTTTCTTCTTTTTGGTCAGCCTTTTTCTGTGTTGCATCTTCTTTGACAGGGTCGGTTAACTGTGGTACAGAGAATCAACACAAAATAACCAGTTAAAATTGTATTATGGGAAATTATTACGGTCCAGCCTGGTAACAAATTGCAAACACCATCGGGGCTAAAAAACCGGCTGGAAATTGAAAGTTAAGAAACCATTGCTTTTTAAGTCACAGTAACTTGCAGAGGCAGATTACATGCACAGTTTGTGAGAAACGTACTGTGTGAAGTAGGCTGTCCTAACCAGAAAATGCCACTAAATTTTATCCCTATATGACCAGAATAAAATCACAAGGATAAAACTATGGAGTTTATAAAATTCATTACCTTGAATGCCTCAAATATCTTAGCAAAAGCTCTGTAGTTAGGATCATGTGGACTAAGGGATTCAGTCACATATTCCACCTCAACATCATCAGTTTCTTCAACATCATGTGGCTGTTCTTGAACAAACTACGGGCAAGAAAAAACTACTGTAAATTACAATGTGGGTAAAGCCATCAAGCACAGTTTCCCAAGATGTCTAGAACTTGCCAAGATGACAGGGACATTGTAAACTGTGGCATTTATACTGTGTTCATGTTAAATGAACTTTAAAGATTATTCTGTAATAAAAAGTTAAATGGAAACAAGAACCTGCAGGAGTTAAATTCAGTAATTAGTCTAAAATGTAAAAATGAAGGACAGTAACATGATTAACACAAAGAAACAGATTCTGTATCCTATTTAATGAATTGTTGTAAAAAATAAGGACCTTTGAAGCCTTTTAATGAACTTTTAAAACATACTACAGTACACATTAGGGTTTAAGATCCTTCCATTCTCTCTCACCTCTATCCTCTTCCTTCGCTTCTTCTTCTTCTTTTTTTTCTTTTTTTCTTTGCTCTAAAATGAAACACAGATTAATCAAAGTAATCATTAAACAAAAGGAAAGACACATTAAGATGTCAACAAAAAACTAGACCCAATAAGAATAATTTGCTACCAATAATTATTTACAATACTACAAAAAAACTATAAGTGACTTTGTGTTTTTCGGAAGCAATTGGCATGATACCGGTATATGGGGAAACACTATCTTCAACTTGCATTCCCGTAAGAAGTGAAAACAAAGTTTGATTACAAATTCATGAATGTACATGTACCTCAACAACTGGTGTTTCATCAACCTCTTCATTTTCTACACCTTCAACTTCATTATGGTACTCGCGTTCAGCTTCTTCTGGCATTTGTGGTTGTTGTATTTCCTGCATAAATTGGTCATTTGTTGTTTCCATTTGCACATGTTCAGGAGCAGACAAATTGTCCTGAGGCAGAAAACGGTTTTCCTTTACTTCTTCTGCTGGAGGATAATCAACCATAACCCATGGCTCACGGGTTTCTGACGACACCAGAATATCACCATCATGGGATTCTTCACGATATTCCCCAGCATAAGCAGTGTTTGCTTGTGGAATGTCTTGTTCCTCTGAAATGTAAAATTCATCAGTTTCTTGCACACCTACTAGTGTAGTCTCCTGTGTCCAGGAAACTTGTGCTGGGAGATTGTCCTTCAACTCAGGGGCAATGACTTGCTGCTCAGTAACAGGAGTCTCAGAAATGTCCTCTTGAGCTGGCTCATGCATTTGTTCACTTGCATTTCCTGGTTCGGGTAAATCTTCATTGTCCCTTTCCTCCTGAGAATGTACAATGTTCTGTGCTTGATCACCTTCATCAACATTATGAACTTCAATTTGCTGATCTGCAACATCTACATCTGGACGTTGTGGTTGATAACCAGGCTCTTCACGCAAAACAGGCATTTCACTACCTGTGGCAGTTTGTTGTATAGCAGGTTTTTCTTCGGGTATTAGTACTGGTACATGAGCAGTAAGTGGTGCATCCTCTGTTTTCATGACTACCACAGGATAATGTTGTTCCAACTGATAAAATGGAGCAGGGGTTTCTGTTGCTGGAATTGTCTGAGGTTTAACTTGTTCTTTTTCATCACTGACGGATGCTGATTGTGTGGAGCTAGGCTCAGGTTGAGATGGATACCCAGGTTCTGATACAAAAGGAAAAAAAACTAGTGTATTCTAAACAAACTCTAATAAAATAATGTACCATTAATAATATAATATAATAATTTAAAGAAATCTCAAAATTCAAATCTTAAAAAAAAAATGCTAGCAGTGATTAAAGCATATGTGCTAAACACCTTTTCTCACAAAAGATACATGATTGAAATCCAAACAACACTGTAGACAATAAGTTGTTGGCCTAGAGTTCTACATTCACCAACTGTTCAATGCAAAGCAAGTGCTTTAGATTTTTTAGATATTAGTACCAATACATTACAATGAATTAACCACTTTAGTGATTAAAGTACTGCGTGAGATGTAATGTCAAAATTTATACAGCATTTTAGATACCAAAGCATTTTAGAAAACAAACCTTCATGATCTGTACTTTCTTCATCTTGAACTAACTGCTGGGTATTTTGGAGCTAGAAAAAAAAATGCAAGCAACAATTACAGTGAAAATAAACAAAAGTAGCCATGTACCAATATTTTTGGTAAAATAATCAATAATGCTGGTGTGTCAGAAATCTCATGTAGATATTCATGGATACTGCAGAGAGAATCTCAATATTGTTACTCATCATTCACACCATTCTAACAAGTCAACTGTGCCCGCTCATGCTCCAAATCTAACTGATGAACTTGGTTTGACCTAGGGGCAAAGAGTTGCGGTGCAACTACAGAATATCGGGCCATATTTTAAAGTCTCTAAAAGAAGTAGCTGGGTGGCTTGCTAGCCATGACAAGTGTTCAAAGAATGAGAAAAATATAAGACGTATAAGTATAAGACAAACATAAAAAAGATATCAGAGTATGAAATTTAAAGAACAAGTAACAGTATAAGTTATATTTTAGTGGCTCAGTGGATCAATGGCCCTCAGTAGAGGTTAGCACCTTAAAGAACATGCAAGAAAGGTATATATTTTAGCGGTTCAGTGGTTCGTCGGGTGAGGTTATGTGGGTTAGTGGCTTGATGGCTCAGTGGCTCATCACTGATGCTGAGCCACCCCAAAGAATATACCTAGAAAATTTGCCCTGTATTCTGTAGTTAAGGCAGAGTTGCTTGTTAATCAGTCTGGCATTGTTGTTCACTTTTAGTTTGATACACAATAGGTAATGTTCTGTCATGTAATCTTATCCACAGATTTGAAACTTTTTACTTAATTTAGACTAACTGAAGTGAGAACTAAGTATGCTGATTGAATAAGGACGTGGGACTGGGCGCCAAATGGAGTAGTCGTGTTTTTTTGTCGCTCCGACGCTGCCTTGCCGTTTCACTATATCAGTTTCAGGAAATTAGCCAAATCAGCCTCAAACTATTTAGAAAATCTTTGCTTTTCCTTTCCGTTATGCCCAACGAAAAGCGAGCGAGACAAGTGGCATGCTTAAGCAGTGAAGATGAAAGAACGCCACCACATAAACATGAGGCCGGCGCCGCCATCTTGGAAAGCATACACGAAAAGCTAAAGAAGCTAGACGTGCTTGAACAAATAAACGGAAGACTGCTGAAGATTGAAAATACCGTTGGTGACATGGAAAGAGGACTTAACTCTATGACAGCAGAACTGCAGAAGGTAAAAACGGATTTAGACTCAAAAGCAGATAACGCCACTGTCGATGCGCTGAAGGATGAAATCGAAGAATTACAAAACAGGTCAAGAAGGAACAACTTAGTCTTCTACAATATACCAGAGAAAGCCGAAAAAGGAGATTGCATCTCTTTTGTACAGGATTTTATTACGCAGCATATGGGCCTTGAAACGTTATGTGGCCATGTTGAGCTGGAGAGGGCACACCGCACGCCAAGCAAAACGCCTTCTGCTGGTGAAAAGGGTCCCAGACCAATGCACGTCGCTTTTCTTCGATACACGGATAAGATGAAGGTACTAAGGAATGCCGCCGCTCGTCTAAAGGATAACCCGTTAAACGGAAATGCCATCGGTATAAGTGAGGATTTCGCCAAAAAAACCCAACGGCGGAGGCAAGAGCTCGTGCCCTACAGAAAGTTTCTAAAGAAGAAACTCGGAGACGACCGGAAAGTCTACATCGCATATCCTGCAATACTCAAATATGTCGATGCCAATGGCCGTCACAGAATCGTAGGAACAGAAGAACTAGCAAAACTACGCCATGAAATGGAAGAGGCAAAGAGTTAACCTAGCAACGCCGTCGGAGTGATACTGACCAACAACAACTTTAATCTCACATTCTACCCATCGTTGGAGTTAAAAGAACTTCACAGGCAATGCCTTTAATTTGTTTCATAAAAGGTAATTTTCGTTTTTATGTTGTAAGTGATGTAATGTTTTCTCCAGGAATCTTAATTCTTAATTGTAATTTTTTGTAACCTTAAATTTTGTAGTGAAAGTGTTGTAAGTGATGTAGTGGTAATAAAGATCTCTGTTAATAAAAAAATAAAAATAAAAATAAAAAATAAAAAAAAAATAAAAATGCTGATTGAATACGTTGCTGCTTTAAGTCGAATTTTATCAAACGAGTTTCAGCACATGAGTGGGGCGGCCTTATTTTATTAAATTCTGCAGACATTGCACTTTTGTAGTCACAACCTACCGACAAAAAGTAACTATGAAGTCTCGCCACTAGTTCCGCCTTAAGACCTATAAAACAAAACAAGTGTAAAACTATTAACCTAAAACGATACAGCGTAAACTAACTGTAAAGTGCACGTGGAAAACAGACAAAATGAACACTTTTGCTTCCAAACAAAGTGTCATATAACTGAGAAGTTCATTTAAAATAGGTGGAATAAATACTTATCAAAACTACCTGATGTTTGAAGTCCAAGGGATGCTAGCCGTGCCTTTAAATCCACAACTTTAAGCTTTTTGAGTTCCTCAATCGTAGGAACCGCATCGTCCTCCATCTTGGATAATGCTGTCTGAACGTCGCCGCAAGGGATTATGGGTCCATCATAATTGGGACTGGATCCGACAATGCAACGCCTGACGAAAAATGTTAATACTTGAGCACAATTATGTGATGAAACTACAAATATTTCCTCAAAATGGAGATTCACTTTCTTGGTACTGGATCTTGTTATCCAGCTCCGTATCGGGGAGCATCGTGCGTAATTCTGAGACATGAGACAGGCTGTTGGATGTTTGACTGTGGAGAAGGAAGCCAAACTCAGCTCATGAAAAGTGCAATTAAACCAGGGAAAATCAACAAGATATTTATTACACATCTCCATGGAGATCATTTGTTTGGCCTACCTGGTTTGCTATGCACAATGGGGATTAACTCTACTGAAAACCGAGAGCCCGTTGAAATTTACGGACCAGTTGGTCTTAGGAAATATTTAAGGGTGTCTTTGGAAGTGTCACAATCAGTGCTTGGTTTCAGATACTCAGTAAACGAACTTCAATGTTTAACTCCAGGTAAGAGAAAGTAAGAGCTGTAAGAGCTAGTCAAGTAAAAAGAAATCATGCCTGAAACACGATCTTTCCTGTTCTCGAAGGAAACCAATAATTGGCTATTTCATAACAACTGTAGCCATAGGAGTTAAACCAGGGGCTGCCACGAACACATCCAGCTGCAGTTGAGGCAGGGATTAAACTTGGGTCTCCAGATTGTAATTTAAGAACTCTAACTTCTTGACCACACTGACCTCTCCTCCTCCTTTTATAATGTGTAATAATAATAATTACGAGCTTAACTTTGGAGTACTTTTAGTGAAAAAGACCTCTAAAATTTTGATGTAACTTTTGTTGCAGAGTTATCAATGAAAAGTGCCACAGATTGGACAAATTCTTCCCTTGCATCAGACAACCTGCACCCGAGTGAAACTACAGGGAGAACTATCTGTGAAAATGAAGATGGTTTATGGTCGGTTTGTCAAGAAGAAAATTTAACTGTGTTTGCAGCTCCTCTTAAGCATCGTATTGAATGTTTTGGTTATGTAATTCAAGAAAAGCAGCATCCAGGTAAACTAGACCCTAATCTTCTGAAGCAGAAAGGAATTCCGCCGGGTCCTCTATATTCAAAAATTAAAAATGGAGAAGCTATTACAGCACCTGATGGCAGTATTATCATGCCTGATCATGTGCTGGGCCCAGCTCGACCTGGTCGTAAAGTTGTTCTTCTCGGAGATACATGCGACTCTTCAAGGATTGTAGATATTGCTTGTGATGCAGATGTTGTTGTTCATGAAGCCACTCTTGAGGATGAACTCAAAGAAACTTGCATAGATCATGGGCATTCTACACCAGGTAATTTTCTTGTAATATATATTATATATGGCTGCAAATAGTGTTCAAATACTTAAAGTTATGTGCATTTTGATCAGACATTTCCCATAATCCATTTGAGTGCAAACACAACAAGAATCAAGTAATGGAAAATTTTATTTCATTTCTACAACAAAGGAACAAAGATGTAAAGATACACTGTATCTTCCTTTTCATGATCAAGCTGTCTAAAGAAAGCCAATAAGCAGAAATTTTAAGTAGTACCAAAATCACATAACTTTTAGCACCCCAAGCAATAGCAATCATTCACATTAGAGTTTTTGTTGAGCTCATATAATCATTGCCAGTTGTCTATTTGGTCATATGACTTTCCTAAAACAATGGTTTGCATTTCACATGTTCTTAAGCTTCCAGAATACAGAGCTCAGATGACAAGCCACATGAAAAAAACATTTGCTTGAAATGGTCACATGAGCTATACAGAAATTCAAATATAAATTATTGTTTATAATTAACATTGTACTGCAGACTTGAGTATCATCATAAACTTTATTAATTGTGAAAGTTAAGGTTTGAAGTCAAATTTGTTTGTTCCACAGAAATGGCTGGACATTTTGCTGCTCAAGTTAAGGCCAAAAAGCTTGTTCTAACCCATTTCAGTCAAAGATATAAAGGAGTTAATGACAATTTGGCTGCACAGGATGCTGACTGCAATGTGAAAAAACTTGTAAAGCAAGCAGAAAAGGTCTTTATGACAGGCAGCATTGTTGCTGCAGAAGACTTCCTGGTCATTCCTATAACGTTAACATAAGTATAGAAATAACTAAATCAAGCACCTCAAAGAGAAGGAAAAAAAATAAAGTTTTATTGCAATCATTTTACAAGCAAGTTAAATCATTGATTATACTTTATGGTCCATTCAAAAAGTTCGTTATTTGAAACACACAGTTTACAAGTGCATTGTGTTTATGAAAAGCAATACATTGAACTTAACATATTTTTAAATCATATGGCAACTATTACTAAACCACACATATTTACATGGGTCAATGTTGGTGTCACATGAAACACAAAATATATCAGTTCTAATCAGTTACATAAATTTTTTGTTGGGCGTCAATGTCAAGTTGTTAAATTGGTATATTGTAAATGTGTTATAACATCATAGGTAGCCCATGAAACAATTTTTTTTGTATTCATTTTGCCTATAAGTGGTTTGTATTTTGTACTTTTACTATCCTGTGTCCTGATCATGTTAAATGTAAACTAGTTTAAGTTTTGAAATATATTCAAAGTGACTTCAACACTACAAATTTAAAAAGGTTGAGTTTGATCGTCCGGGTGAACATAGTCCTGAATAGGACTGTTGTTGTTGACAGTGACTGACGTTTCGACAACCTGACAGACAACCAATAACATCGCGACATAATTGACCAATCAGATCAATAACCAGAGTATAATACCATCAACTGACGTGATACAACTCACTTTGACTCTGAAGATGACTACCGCACAGGTTGTCGAAACGTCAGTCACTGTCAACAACAACAGTCCTATTCAGGACTACATTCACCCGGACAATCAAACTCAACCTTTTGAAATGACTCCTGGGTTCAAACCTTTCACACTACATATTTATTTCTTACATTACATCTGGAGTAGTTTGAATCATCATTACTAACCTTTTACCCTTGAAGTGGTGGGGTCTCTAAACATACCGATATTTCAAATGCTACCTTATCTTCAAGCACCAAGGGTTTATCATCGATAAGTATCAAATGAAACTGGCACTCAATAGCTGAATGGTACTGCCGTATCTTTTGTTAATTCAATAGTTTTATTTTCCTTTCAGTAAGTGTAGGATGAGTGTGCATGCTATTTAACTATACACGTGCTTTATTTACTTATTTACTTGACACATACATTCAGTTCATTATTTAACACATTACAGTTTCTTTGGGTTGTTTTCCTAGTCATACACCTTGTCAGTAACTGTGCTCACATTGTGGGTGGCTCCTCCTAAACTTTTCTGCAATTGGTATAGGATTTAATGGAGCCAAAATCAATAGTGGAATTGCACACATTTTAGGCATCCTACTGATGAACAGTTACGACTTTTAGATATTTCGAGCAACAGCAATTTGCCATCTGTCCTCTTTGAATCAGTCTACTGAGACTAGATGCCAAAAAAAAAAAATCCCTACCCTAGTACAGAAAAATTTCTTTACTAGAAACTCTTTTACTGTCATCACTATAATCTGAAGCAATGCAATGTTTATCCCATTATCTGATGCGTCATAAGGCCAAGTGAACAAATGCAGGTTATCAGAAAAGATTTTCTGAATAGTCTGGTTTGGTAGTGCAAGGTCTTGAGGGTATATACACTAGTAATGACGTTTACTGGTCTTGGGTAAAATACTAACTTCCAATCCACCATCATCATCTCCCTGAAAATAATACATGTCAATACCTCGACTGCTGCAGTCTCCATAGACGACATAGACAAGCCATTCATAGACAAGCCCTGCTGTAACTAGTACTACTCCAGTAGAAAAACCACCAACGGCTGTCTCCTTCCAGTAAGTAGACACCATTGGTACTTCCCATTCAAAGTATCCAACAACAAGTGCAGATAAACCTAGAAGGATTCCAAGAAGGCATGCCCACTTGGCAAACATTTCACTTCCGATAGTAGATTTTGAGATCCATGAATAGACAATCCCAAAAGCAGCAAGATTCACCTCTATGACTTTACGGAGATCAGAAACCAAGCAATTTACTTTTCCAGTGTCATTTTTATCCTCCAAAATAAGCCTCAACATCAGAGCGACAAGCGGCACAGCTGTCGGACCAGCAATATCTGGCTGCAGCACCGTGCTGGTGATGATCAAGAAGTTTCTCGCATTCAGAATAGCCTCAAGGATCTCGGGAGATTTCTCTTTAGCGTGATAAACTACCTCCAGAAGTCCGATCAGTGACGTGGATTCTATGAGATCTTTGTGATCGTGGTCTTGCATGCTCAAAGAAAAGTTCTCGTCTGCAACCGGTCCTCCCTTTATGACTTGAGAAATATCCTTCTTCAGACTGATTACGTGAGTTGGGCAGAGGTACAATTCTCGCCTATGGCCGCTTTGCTCACGGCATGTAGGGTGACGACAAAATACTTCGTCTCCAGACAAGTTAGGATGAAACTGCTTGAGTACGAAAGACCCAGCACACTTCCCAGGAATTCTCAGCATCACTTTCTCTCCAAAAAGGCTTTTAGCATCTTGAATTGTTCCACGCGTCACATGTGGCGGGGTGTGTTGACATTCGGTCATCTCACTGGTCATCTGCTGAAGAAGCCTTCGCAGATCACTAACAGTGGTCAAGAGAGAATGACCTAGCTCATTCTCTCTTGCAGTGGTGCAATTGCGACGTGTTTGCTGAAGGCTTGCCATTATAATGTCAGCTTTATTTACAGACACATAAAACTGATCATTACCTGCAACCACAACAAATTTAAGTCCTTCGACTTCTTGCGTTTTGGGACTTCCGGGTTGGAGTTCAATGTAAAATACGACAAACGGCTTACCACGTGACAAAATACGTGGAAATGATTGGTTTTCCAGGATGACGTGGACAGGGCTTAAAAACGTTTGATTAGTCCAGAGGTTGTGACGTAAAATCTCGTAGTTACTGCGCATGCGGAAAGTTAAGAATGAATGATCTTGTTGTCAATATTGGTTGTCTTTACACTAAGCCGCTGAGTTTTACTTAACCAAGAATTCGTGTGTGAAGGCCTAAGTAAGATCTCAAGTAACTTTGTTTTGCATCTCATTAAAGTAGGAAATTTGAAACGATTCAAGAAAGTTTCAAGCGACTTGAAAACCATCCCTTATGACCGACTTAGCTGACTTGCGGTTTTGCGGTTTCTTGAGCTTTGAGAAAGGCGAGACATGTCAATCAATCTTAATTTTGTTGCGTGGGAAAATAACCTGAAGTAAAAAAGAATCGGTTGTGTGTGAAGCTTTATAGAGTACTGAAGTGATGACGTCATAAAAATGAAATTTGTGAAATTATGGGATTTGTTATGATATTCTGAAAGAACAACGTCCAAGACACGTACTCGCCAAAAATTAGCAATTAGGGGCAAATTGTCTCTGAGATATTAGCCCAGTTATGCTGTGACGACTCCATACAAATCCTTCTAAATTTGGCTTGGTTCATAAGATTAGGAACCAGGTAAGATTTAGAAGGATTTGTATGGAGTCATCGGAGCATAACTGGGTTAATATCTCAGAGACAATCTGCCCCAAATTGCTAATTTTTGGCGAGTAGGCGTCTTGGACGTTGTTCTTTCGGAATATCTGAACAAATCCCATAATTTCACAAATTTCATTTTCTATGACGTCACACTTCGGTACTCTTTTTTACTTGAAGTAATTAAAATTTACATGTCTTAAAATATGTCTTAGATCATTTAGGTTCTAGTATAAAGACTACCATATGGCGGACAATCGGTGGCCGATTGGGAGCTGTATTTCGGTGGGTCGTGACTAGAATGGATACTCCAAAATCAGGTATCCGATGGGAGACTATTATTTTTCGACAAATCGTTCCCACTCTTAAACTTTACGACCTTGTTGTGTTCAAAGAGATAAGTATACAAAGACTGAAAACGGCCAACTAGTTAAAGATGAGAATGGATACTCCAAAATATGGAGCAAAACCTACATAGATCGAGTTTAGTTGTTTTTCACGTTCTTTTTGTAAGAATTGAGTGCAAGGAGCAAACAATGTCTTTTTAATTACAGTACCGCGCCTGCGTGTAAAGCTTATTCATAGCAGAGTACCTGTTTGGATAGCTCAGAATAAGGTGGATACTTCAGAATAAGAATGGCCAAAATATGGAAGTTTTGGCCATCTGGATTATTATTACTGAACTTCCCAATATAAACATGATTGTTACATTTACAAAGAGGGTACAAATACATTTAAGGTCAGTTAAACATCTTGTAATTTTATGGGTTAGTTGATTCCAAGCGTTAACAATAGTAAAAAACACATAACTTACTTCAGGTCATACTTCTTGTAGCTTGGTGATCACTATTACAAGCGCAGGCAGGCATATGCTCAAGTTTCTTCAAAAACGGTCCTGCAGATTGTATTATTAGTGTAGTGTCTCTGTATATGTTCTGATATAGGACCTGGCGCCTACAGTGGCACATCGGAACCTTAATAAGTTACCCAAAATAACTAAATATATATATATATATATGTTGTGTAAAAAAACGGTCCTTGTAAAAAAGCGTCATTTTTATGTAAAAAAGCTGCTTTTTTACAAATTGAGCGGTTGTAAAAATACTGGTTTTTTACAAAAATATATTCGTTTATAAGAATTAGGGACTATAAAGGCGGTCTGTAACGTACGCCAATGCTTGTTTTATTTTAGAGATCGAGAAAAAAGCCAGAAAACACTTGTAAAGGCTACACAACTTTAATATGAACACCAGCTGAATTCGCCAGCAACATTTAGAGTATGACCGTTTTTTAACAAAATATATTTTTGTAAAAAAGCTGTCCTTTTACAAATATATATCAGTGTAATAAAAACAGCTTTTTTACGGTACCGCTTTTTTACACAACATATATATATATATATAATATATACATAATCCTAAAAAATCCTAATAAAAAGCTAATCTAAAAAAATGGGTCTTAAGTAAACCTTTAAACCTATGAAAATTGGGCTCATTTCGTATTTGTGATGGTAACCCATTCCACAGTTTAGGTGCCGCAGCTAAAAAAGCACGGTCACCCAATATCTTTTTAGTTAAAGTTCTTGGCGTTTGAAGCATGATTCCCATTGCACACGATCTTAAATTGTATCTCTTTTCCTCCCTTTTGCTAATGCGTTCTTGTAGATATACCGGAGCTTGACCATGGATCGCTTTAAAAGTAACTATAATAATCTTAAAATGAATACTAAATTCTACTACTTCCCCTCCCTGTGACCTATTTTCTTGATTGCTTTCTGAGCTCGTAATGAGACAAGACCTTCAGCATTAAGCTGATTATTTGCTACTTTTTGTTTTTCACTTAGTACGGTGAGCTCATCATAAATTTAAAATGGAATAAAAATGATCATGCAGGCATATCCTTGCCTAGTCTCTAGGCCTCATTTTTCCTCGCGGCCAAAGCGTTTCGCCGTAGAGGGACTAGGCAAGGCATATCCATGTTGCAGCTGTCACGGGAGTAGGAGTTGGAGCTCTGAGGCTTATTTGCTGAAGTTAGGGAAAAATCTGTCGAGGGATTTCGAAGTTATTTACATTTGTAGTAAAAATGTGGTTTTAAATGTATGCNATATAATATATACATAATCCTAAAAAATCCTAATAAAAAGCTAATCTAAAAAAATGGGTCTTAAGTAAACCTTTAAACCTATGAAAATTGGGCTCATTTCGTATTTGTGATGGTAACCCATTCCACAGTTTAGGTGCCGCAGCTAAAAAAGCACGGTCACCCAATATCTTTTTAGTTAAAGTTCTTGGCGTTTGAAGCATGATTCCCATTGCACACGATCTTAAATTGTATCTCTTTTCCTCCCTTTTGCTAATGCGTTCTTGTAGATATACCGGAGCTTGACCATGGATCGCTTTAAAAGTAACTATAATAATCTTAAAATGAATACTAAATTCTACTACTTCCCCTCCCTGTGACCTATTTTCTTGATTGCTTTCTGAGCTCGTAATGAGACAAGACCTTCAGCATTAAGCTGATTATTTGCTACTTTTTGTTTTTCACTTAGTACGGTGAGCTCATCATAAATTTAAAATGGAATAAAAATGATCATGCAGGCATATCCTTGCCTAGTCTCTAGGCCTCATTTTTCCTCGCGGCCAAAGCGTTTCGCCGTAGAGGGACTAGGCAAGGCATATCCATGTTGCAGCTGTCACGGGAGTAGGAGTTGGAGCTCTGAGGCTTATTTGCTGAAGTTAGGGAAAAATCTGTCGAGGGATTTCGAAGTTATTTACATTTGTAGTAAAAATGTGGTTTTAAATGTATGCTGATATCTCAAAGGAACACTGTCACTTACAAAGCAAAGCAAAGTTATGGTTATCAACAGTGTGTACAAGACTTTGTACGTCTAAATGTACAGTTAATATGAACTAATCTTTCAACTGTCGGCCGGACTCCTATTTCACTTTCGCTTACCAGCCGCAAGAGAAGAGAGTAAAGACAGCAAAAACAGGAAAATGCAATGTTCTGTACTCACGAAGTGCACCTTTATTTCTTCCATATGCAAAGTCAACGACTCCCACGAACAAGAAGCGATAAAAAATTTTCATCAGAACGAAAAAAAAGTCGTATTTGATATTTTGTTCAAGAATGAATAACCTACAAGAAAATGCACTTTAAAACCTTATACAAGCCGAGACTACCTTATATCACGGCAAAACTGTACCTTCACTGAATTCTGAAAAGGTGAAATATTGTTTTTAAAGGCGTTGTGTTGATCGCTTCATTAAAATTACAGCACCGTTATCGTGCCTCAAACCCAAACAACAGGAAATAACAGTTTTCGTTGTGTTCGGTGACGCAGAATTTGAAGGCCTTGGGCGAGCAAGATGTCGCAAATGGCCGTCACAATGACGTGTAGAATTTTCATTCGTCGTCCGCCATTTTGAAAATCGAATGGCGGGATGGCGAGAAGAACCCCAGAGTTTTAATGCGCATGTCCAGCCGTTTTTACGCCCTGTCGATTTTGTCGATCACGTGCAGGAGTCAGGTCTTTATTTTCCCGGGATGTTGCGCATTCCATGGCAAAGAGGTAGTAGGATAGCCTGTGAACAGCAGGTTTTCCCTGGGCTACCGGGGAGTACGAGCGCCCCGGGACAGCTTGCCCGCAGGCTAGTAAGAGGACGACAGAGGAAGGGTGTGGCGATTCAACTTGCCTTGCGGCAAACTCATTGTTTTTGAACATCAGTAATTTCTTTTTCGCTATGTCCAGGAGCCCAGGGCTCCTGTTATGTCTCACTACCTCATTATAATCAGTAAGATCGTTAAGTCTATCCAAATATTTCATACTGTGATTTGGTACGAAGGGAACCCCTCGTCCCTCCTCCCTTGCGCGTGGTCTCGCGCCCTAATTCTCTTCTAGCGCACGAACGGAAGTAAAAAACTGCGGGGGACCTATCGACCGTTACCGTAAAGTGGCCGGGGGTGGCAGTTTCCAAGGGAAAAGCCCTCTACCATGCTCTACGCCGCTCAAATGTTTTTCGAAGAAAAGGAAAAACGCATGTGTACAGACTACTGTTGATTCTGAATATTCCTACAGCGTATTGGGTTGTTCGAGTAAAACTTGTTGTCAATTCAAAAACTTATTAATAATTCATGAAGAAAAAAGCAAAAGAAATAAATGTTAAATGAGTGTCTTCATATCTGATAAAGACACGGTCAAACTTTTCGTCCAATTTTTTAGACCAAAATAACCCCAAATCTGAATATAAGTGAAGGAATGAGTTGATCTTTACAGAGATCTTAGACTGCAAAACAGTCGGGTTTTTTTTTCTCAAAATCGGTTTAGTGTACCTTTTGTTTGACTGTTCGCGCGTACTTGAATACGCAAAAATACGGGGTGTTTTGTAGTCTACAGAGATTTTGAAGGGCGTTCAAAAAACGCGTAGTCGTGTATTATCTGTTGTAAAAACTCTCGGCTTTGCCTCGACTTTTTAAAAAACCTGATTAAACAGTACTAAAACTATGATTAGAATGTCGTTAACTTTTGTTGTGTTGTCGGTTTACAGGGTTTATAACCGCAATAATGATGAACCACTTTCTGCAGTTACCTCCGATATGAAGTAACTGTAGTATAAAACCGAAATTAGTTGCTGGTATCAACTGACGCCATTATTTAGATAAAGGAAGTTTGGAATCGCCATAATTGACATGGCTTGCGAAGTGAGCGCATTTCCAAATTGGCTACAAGC